GGGAGCGGCCGCTGCACTCCAGTCTGGGTGACAGAGTGAGACTCCAACCCCCCCCCAAAAAAAAAGACAGAAATTTTATTCTCTCATATTTCTAGATGCTCAAAGTCTGAAGCCTGGAGCAAAGACACAAGAGACTGAGTCAAATACACAATCACATTAAAAGCTTCTGTTTGGAAGTGGTGTATGCCACATTTGCTCACATTCTACTAATCAAAGTGAGTCATGTGGCCATACCCAAAGTCAATGAGATTTTCAAGGAAAAGGAATAAAAGTGAAGAACAATAATACCATCTGCCTCACAATGCATTTTAGAAATGTTCAGTTCATTTAGCAATTCCTTGTTTTCTTGTTCCAGCAACAAGAGTTGATTTTAAGTAAGTAGATGTGAGAACTGGCACCACTAGGTTTCTTAGTCCAGGAGCACCCTCTACTGTTTATAAAGTGAAGTGCAACTTATTTAATAGATGAAACTGAAGAGGTTGGTGGGTCTTATAACTTCTGTTCATTCTAAATCTGGGGTGGCCATTAACTGTTTGGAACACTAGAGTATTACAGAAGTGATGCTATGCTAGTTCTGGGCCCGGCCTTTAAGAGGACGGGCAGCATCCATCTTGGTTCCTTGGAATTTGCCTCTTATATAAGAAGAGAGACTCTCTTAAGACCACCATGCTGTGAGAAGCCCAAGACATGCAGAAAGGCCCTGAAGGACGAGTACCATGTGGACAGAAAGGTCAAGGAAAACCAAAGCACCAGGTAGTGAGTGAAGAAGTCATCTAAGAAGTGGATTCATCCATTCCCACTGACACCACATGGATCAGAGACAAACCAAGAAGCATAAAAGAATTCATAATCATTTTAAATCTGCCATATCCATTTCTGTTAAAAACTGTATTAGATGTCCTAAGCAGTAACGTAATTAAAAAAGAAATGTTGCCGGGCTCGGTGGCTCAGCCTGTAATCCCGCGCCTTTGGGAGGCTGAGGGGAGTGGACTGCCTGAGCCCGCAGGTTCAAGACCCGCCTGGGCAGTGAGACCTCATCTCTACAATAAATCAAAAAATCAGCCGGGCTCG